TATCAGTCATTGAATTAGCTACTGCTTTTAAAAATCTAGCTGTACTATTTGATTCTTTGTCTAATAATTGCATGAGCTGGTCGTGTGGATTGTAAAGAAATGTTACCTTCTGGTTGTTTTAAATTACTTGCTGGTCACTTTATTCTAATCCTCCCATTCTTTTAACACCATTGCTCTACCCTTTGCGTTTCTAGTGGTTTTAAAAAGCACATTAAACTCCTTTATAATTTTTCCAAATTTCAGACTAAATTATCTGTGGAGGGTGTGTGTATACATATATGTATATATATATATATATGTGTGTGTATATATGTATATAGTTTGGATCCTAGCAGTCCTATTCCAAAACCTTCTCCTGAGTCACCTGTCCCAACTGTCCTCTCCTGTCACATGCAAGTCCTGCCCCCAAGCTAGGATGCCGTCTCTGTGCCACATTCATACTTCATGCTCCTGATTGCCCAGCCCAAGGCACCAGCTCCCTACAGTTTCTTTCCTGCATCCTCAGCAGAGAAGCTGAAGCCACCTATGCACACCTACTCATGTACAATGGGAGAGCCCTCTTGGAGGATGCCCAGTGCTCTGGATCTGCTCTGCATAGGGTCTGCTGTCCCAGGACCATACACACTCCCACATCCCCATCTCCTCCCCGACAAGTGATTTGGCAAAGCTCTTCCTCAAGCTGGTGAAGAGGCACAGGGGGATGCCGGGATGGCAGTGCCTGGAAAGCAGCACTTGGCATGGGCAGCAATAGCTGTTCCAAGGTAATTTTCATAAGAGATGAGCTGTTTACTTGATGGCTAATGAATTTGCTTTAAAAGCCAATTTTGGCTTTTTCTAAGAGTTATTTACAAATGTATTTTGAATATGTGTGTTTCAAAATCATTTGGGAGGAGCAGCCTATGTTTGCCAAATACCTTCACCTTCAGGGAGGAGTGGTGCTTCCCCCACACAGCAGTCTGAAGATGGGAGTTTTCAAACAAAGCCTGGACCACCAATCCACTCCTCTTCTTCCTTTCTCTGGAAGAGGACTGCCCAGCTTGTCCCCGATAGCCGAAGTAGGATCTGCTGAACAACGGTGTGCTCAGTAGCACAAAATGTTGGGATTTTGTGCTAGCTAAATATTTATTGAGGCAAGTTAAAAATAAAAAAGGAAAAGAAAAGGGGATCTAGCTTGGTAGCTAGGACATAAACTCTTAAAATTTGATATGAATTTTGCTCTAACTGCAGTGTTTCAACGTTACACAGGCTGCACTAGTATCAATAGGAAAGATATTTTTTTCTGTTCCAGAATCCACTTCCACTTTTTTTATTTTCTCCTAAGCAGTTTCTGTTTTCTTCTATTTGTAGAAATTTCATTGTGTGTAGGTTCCTGCATGGCAGGCTAAATGTACTGACCTGGGCTCTCCAAAGTTTCATGCTCGCTCCAAGCTGATATGGGTCCAGGCTGCTGCCAACAGAAGCTATTGTCCTGTCTTCTCTTCCCCCATTTCAGAGCTGTGAATTCCTTCTCTTTCCCCTGCACCAGAGCTAGCACTGTGTGGTTTGAAAGATAAACTAAAAGATTACTATTTTTTTCTCTACTAGTTTTCAGCATCCATCACCTTTTGCAGACTTCTTGAAATTTCTTCCTATATATCTAATCCAAATCTACCCTCTTTCAGTTTAAAACTGTTACCCCTGGTCCTATCACTACACTCCCTGATAAAGAGTCCCTCTCCAGCTTTCTTGTAGGCCCCCTTTAGGTACTGGAAGGCTGCTATAAGGTCTCCCCAGAGCCTTCTATTCTCCGGGCTGAACAGCCCCAACTCTGTAAGCCTTTCTCTATAGGAGAGATGCTCCAGCCCTCGAATCATCTTCATGACCCTCCTCTGGACCCGCTCCAGCAGCTCCATGTCCTTCTTGTGTTGGGGACTCCAGAGCTGAACACAATATTCCAGGTGGGGTCTCACAAAAGCAGAGTAGAGGGGCAGAATCACCTACCTCGACCTGCCGGCCACGCTTCTTTGGATGCAGCCCATGATATGGTTGGCTTTCTGGGCTGCAAGTGCACCTTGCTGGCTCATGTTGAGCTTCTCATCCACCAGCACTCCCAAGTCTTTCTCCTCAGGGCTGCTTTCAATCCGTTCTCCGCCCAGCCTGTATTTGTGCTTGGGATTGCCCCGACCTGCATGCAGGACCTTGCACTTGGCCTTGTTGAAGTTCATGAGGTTCTCACAGGCCCACCTCTCCAGCCTGTCAAGGTCCCTCTGGATGGCATCCCTTCCCTCCAGCATGTCCACCACACAACACAGCTTGGTGTCATCAGCAAACTTGCTGCGGGTGCACTCAATCCCACTGTCCATGTTCCTGAAAAAGGTACTGAATAATACTGGTCTTGGACCCCTGAGGAGCACCACTCATCACTGCTCTCCACTTGGACATTGAGCTGTTGACCACAACTCTCTGAGTGTGACAATCCAGCCAATTCCTTATCCACCAAGTGGTCCACCTTTCAAATTCATGTCTCATCATTTTAGAAACAAGGATGTATATGGGACAGTGTCAAATGCTTTGGACAAGTCCAGGTAGATGATGTCAGTCGCTTTTCCCCTTATCCACAAATGCTTGTTGTAGAAGGCTACCAAATTTGTCCTTTTTACTGAGTTTGGCCTTATGCTGTCGTGCGACTGCACCCTGCATTAGCAGTATTTTCCCTGGCTGAGGCTCATCTGTACTCTGAGTGCCGGGGACCAGGCCAGTGCAATGCTAGGGGCTGTAGTTCCCACTGGCATCGCTGGAATTAGCTTGCTGATGATAATGGATTAGTGCCAGCTTGGGATTGGAGCGGGGAGGGGGAAATCAATGTATAAGCTTTGATGGTGCTGCTGCAGTGAGTGAGGTTTGTTGAATGACAGGCTTGGACAGAAGCCAAGTGGTGGTATTTAGGGCTGCTGCAGAACCAAGGCGTTAAGTGGGATCTGAGGCAACGTTGCAGTCTTACGGCATCTTCGTTGGGTGTGGGAGAGGAGAATTAAGCTTTTATGTTATAGTATTTCCATATGGAGCTACTGTTACACATGGAACTACATCAACATTTGTGATGACTGCAGAAGGGTAAACAGCATTAGATGCTTCTGTGATTCCACTTCCCTTCTCTTTCTAAAAATACAGTAACAAGAAAATAGGGGGAAAAAAGCAGGTGGCATTACCGAAATATGGTTTCTGTAATACTTACAGGGTGTGAAGGGTAATTATTTTTTTTTTTTATGATTACAATATACCAAGTGTGAATTGGATCCTTCTCAAAACGAGGAATTAATTATACTGCCTACAAGTTGGAATAACGTGCTCCCGCACCACACAATCCTCCCATTGTGCTGCCAGTGCACCTGCACAACATCTTCTGTTCCGCTTCCAGACTTCTTTAGGCAATGTTTATTTGTGTCTTGTGTGGATCGAAGTAAAATAGAAGTTGCCATTAAGCATGAGAGTAGGCAATATCTTGTCTTTTAACACTGACAAGATATGGAAATATCATGGTGACTAAAGGTGGGGTAACCTGACTCTCACACAGATGTTTGTCCTGTCTCTGTTTGTCTTTCGGAGTTCTGGTTCACTGTTAATTTTACAACTTTAAATCCCCAATCTTTATGGATCAGTGGTAAGGTTTTGGAGTTTGCATTTCCCTGCTGCGAAGAGTTATGTGTCATTTTCCTTTCTATCTCCTCAAATATGTATCTCCTCTAATTTCATTAAGTGATCAGTTATTCTCATGTTACATAAAACAGAGTGCAGAAAGTCTGTCTTTTCTCTGTGCTGTTTCGTTATTTTGTATAATTACGTCTTCTGTAATCTCTCCTTTGTAAGGTAAATAGTCACAGTCTTTTCTGTTTCTTCTCATATTAAAATTTACCCAAATCTTTTATTATTCCTACTACTATTATTGTCTGAATCCCCTCTAACATCACAGCGTCTGTTTTTTGAGATGATATTACCAGTGCAATATATGACCTGCCGGAGATAATGTGGATCTACATTAGAGTAATGTTACCTCCCCACTGGTCACCATTTTATTCCTCATTTATCCTAATATTTTTTTAACTACAGTTAAGAATTTCATTTAGAAGCATAGTTTTCCTTGAGAATTGTTCTGTGACCCTGAGATGTCTTTACTGAATTGATAAAGTTTGCTTTAAGAGGTATTACAGCATGTGTAATTACATTTTCTCCCTCTAGTACGTGCTGCTTTTAATATTGAGCTCATTGTGACACTGTCTTTTCACCTAGCCTTTTTTTAGGTTCATCTTGAAATTCTTCGCTGTCATTTCTGGTCTTTCCTGACCCAAATAATTTTGTGTTGTCTACAGGCTTTGCCACCTCATTGCTCATCATCTTTTCCAGATCAAGAATAAATGTAGTAAATAACACAGCACTGACTTTACCAAACCTTTTTCCTGATGTGAAAAAAAGTTATTATTTGGAGGCTTCAGTTAGACTAGTCAGATGATTTGATAAATTCTTTTTATTTAGATTTCAATAGCTAAAAGACCTAGATTGCTGCTACTTCTTTTCCATACAAAAATCAGAACAAAACTAAAGTGCTACCGAATTGTTTTACAGACCCTGTCCAGAAGAATTTCAAATCCCTATTTGGAAACTCCTTCAAACAAGGTACTTGTCAAGCTTCTTTTTAATTCCATTTCATCAAATAACATATTAGGAATCTTTTTGCTTTGGTTCTGGTTCATCCTCTTAATCATAGCTTTGAAGACACTTGTGAATGTGGCTTGCAGTTAAATCCAGTTAACAAGTTATAATCTGTGTGTGTTAGAAATTGTCTATGTCTATTACAACAATTCAGTTTGCAAATTCAGTGAATTCCGACATGCACTTGCTTCCCAAACATTTAAACAATTGCCACCATTTAGTTTACTTTTGCAATATTTGAGAGCTCTGTTTTTGCATCTCACAAGACTTTAATGTCTCAGGACTATTTTATATTCCTTGAAAGATTCCTAAACATGGCGGTGAGGGGGAAGGTGAAACCATGGCATCGTTTTTCTTTCAAGTTAGTTATTTGTGTTACTTATGTGTTTTGCTGGGATGCTGACAAGACATGAAACGGGAGCTTGAGTTAAATTCATCAGTAGGGAGTGGTATACAGAGTCCAGGTGGAACATAGTTTTCTGGGAGATGGAATTGGGTCCTGTTTTGATAGACACATCTGCAGCCTTGAAGGGTAAGGTAGAAATTAGTTGTGGGGGAAGTCAGAGGTGTGTCCATTCTGAAAGACCACCTCCTCCTGGTAAGGTACAGATCAACTGACCTCTAGCTATCATAGGATACCTCCGAAGTTTCTGATCAAAAAGAAGAAACTATGAAATGGTGTTTCAATGTGTATTAAGCTTGTATTAAATTTTTAACTCAAATACGTGTGCAATAATATTTAATTGTAAATGTATTAGTGTGGTTTTGCGATGGTTAATATACTAGAATAACTCCTGTTTTCATTTGAGCTTGCCTGTTGTTCAAAGGTAAAGCCGACAGATAGTAAACCCTCTACTTTTCTAAGGCGGCAATTATGAAAGCAGTCCAGCTCGTGAGGCCATCTGCAACCCGTGATACAACTGGGTGTTGCAGAAGTTGGAGTGCATTTTCTATGAGGCTTTGACTGCTTGCTGTCGTTTAGCTGGGGAGAAGGCATTGCTCAGAGGGAGGGAGCGGACAGTAGCAAGGCCAATATTTAATCCCTGTTTGTCACAGTTTTCGATTTCTCTTTTCATTCAGATTTATGGAGAAAGTTCTTCCTGTGCTGGGAGAGCTCTTAGGAATATTTTTACTCTACAAGCGTCTGACCTGATTAAAGACAGGGTGTACCTTACTGGCATTTGCAGGTAACCTGAGATCATTCATTTTAATCAACTGGATGGGTTTTATTTGCATTAGTCTATGCCCTGATTTGGCAAGACACTAAATTCTGAGAGTGAGATTTTGTGTTACTAAGAATTGAAAATATTTTCTAAAAAAGTTCTTTAAAATCTCATGTATTTTAATATCTTTTCTTATGTTGCTTTGTCAGTTTTCAGAAAGCAGCAGTGACCTGATTATATGTCCATTAATTTAATTGTTTATGATTTCAAATACAATTGTGTTTGTCTGTTATTTTGTTGAAAAGAAAGAGTATTAAATTCAGCCCTGGTCTGGAGTTATAAAAGAGTTTAATTGGATTTCTAAGATTTAGTTACACAGTGATTTTTGCATGTAATTTATGGAATATTTCTGTAATGAAGTGATTTTCCATTTGTGTTGCATTACAGCATAAATGCTTCCTCCTATTTTCAATTATGCCAAAATGTGCAGGTCTCTATTATAGCACCATTCATTCATATCCGTATATAAGAAAAAGCCACAACTTTTTTTTTTTTTTGTGATTTAAAAAGATAAGATTACAAATAACGTGAAAGGTGAAGTATATCCTAGAGCAACACTCAAGGTCTTGCACATATATTGTGTAGCTGTAGTGCTTATGCCTATACTCGGAAAGGAAATAAAATCCTGAGGCTAAAAAACAGATTTTATTTTGCTCTTATACGTCTTTGGATGACTGTCTGTATGCAGCACAAGTTGATAAAAATATCTCATATGCATGAATTAGGTATGTAAAGGAACTTACTTACCTAACACGAGTTCCCTTGTTGTAACTAGAAGCATCCCCTGAGAATTGCCAGAGTAATTCCTTCCCTTGAAATGAACAGGATTTCAAAAATTAGTAATTGAGATGAAGAGTTTGCCTTTCTGAACAAAAGTATTTACTTTTAATAGCTTTTAAAAGTAGCTCTTTAATATAAAAGAGCATTTTAACATTAGTGTAAGACGTGATGTTTTGCTTATTTTCAGGAGAAGCTGTGTTGGATCAGAACTGGTAGACTGGCTTTTGGAGCAGTGCCCTTTTGTTAAGTGCAGATCTACAGCAGTTGGAGTGTGGCAGCTCCTCCTGGATATGGGCATTATATTATCAGGTCAGTCTTGACAGTACTTCTAGGGTGAGGAAGGCTATCGGTTTCTCCTGCTTAGGATGAGACTCATGTTTTTGATGGGAGAGGAAGGAGGCAAAGAAAAGAAATGCAGATTGATCCATTTTTCTTGACAGTTGTTTATTTTATTATATCTTTGGTAGGCTCACCTCTGTGACCTTTCATTTCATAAATACCAAAGATGAATCATATTTTAAGCAATTTCCTTCCTTTTGATTTTGCAAATGTAATTGCCTATTACCAAGTTGCAGACAGCATGTGTGTCTTTTCCAGCCTATTTTTTGTTTCTCCTCAAGCTCTTTTAGGTTTTTCACAAGACAGCAGCTGTTTAGTCACTGCAGGTCATGGCTTTGTCAGATGACTTCTCCAGCTATTAGCGATTTTCCCTTCCTCCCTCTGTTTTAGTTTTAGATTACAATGGATTGAGAGAGGATTCAGCAAATTGAGACAGTGGTGATGCCAGGTTCTACCAGGCTGTCCCCACCTTCCCCACCAAATTTAGGAGCTTGGTCCAGCTAATGTGGTTGGCGATAATTACACTGTTAACCAGCCTCTGGAAATCTGGTGGACTTGACTTTGTATCTGGGACTACTTAGGTAGCTCAACTCAAAGCATACCCCACCCTGGGGTCTTTGCTAGACACTTAACTTTCTTCCTTCTGAAAAGGTGAGGTGTTATAGAAGATTTGTTCTTACGTACACTGACGGTATACTTAAAGGTTTGCCTCTGCTCCAAATACACTGACAGTATGTCTGATCCTCACCAAGGGCTGAGTGACTCTTCCAGCAGGAGCTTGTGTTTTTGGCTTTGGACCTCGTCCTTCAATCCCAGTTAAATGCTGGTTATGCCAGGGAAGATAACAGCTGTTTTTACTGACGCATCATCTTACCCAGGTGTAGTTGACAAATCCAGTAGCCCTGAATTTGAGGAGAAGCAAGGATGATGATGGGCTGCATCCCCATTATTGAACTTTGTTTACTAGTGCCTGGCCATTAGTGAGAACAGATTAGATGCCAATGGAAATCAAGGCTCAGAAATCTGACAAGTGGAAGACTTTTTATCCCCTAATTCTGAACGGATTCCAAAATCGATTAAATACTCTGCAGTCTTAATGCTTGCATTTCAAGAGCATGGAGATCTTCAAATTGAGGTTTTGGGGTTGTCCTGTTTGATGTGCTGAGTTAATATGAGAGGACAGGATCGTTTCTGTGCTGAGTTTGTGATCCTTTTGCTTTGTGTGGAGGTGCGAATCTGCATTAAAGCCAAGTACAATGCAGAACGTGTGGGGACATGGAACATTTACATGGTAAAGGTTTAAAGGCTATCTCATGTTATTTTTTCTAACAGTGGACAGACATCTCTATTTTCAAGACACTCATGCTTTCTACCAGTTCTCTGCGGATGAATGTACCTACCTCTTCTGTGAATTTGAGAAAGAGGAAGGATGGAAGAATGGAGTAAAGCTCCTACTTCAACTACTGCCATTGTCTCCTCCCAGGATTGACATGTGTAATCTGTAAGTGTGCATATACAGCTGTTTGCAACTTTTGCTGACCATTTTTTACATACTCGTAATGACACTGTTTACTTCCAAACCACCGTGCAAATAAGCCAGCTTTCTTTTCAGGATTGACAAGCTTTGCAGAGATGGACTTTTCCTTTTGAGAAAGTCAGTGTGGGTAGGTAAACGCAGGCACTCGACTAGGGGTTTTTGGCATATTGTGATTCTTGTAACACTAGCTTGCTGACTCTAGCTTGCAATATTACCTGGGCAAATGGCTTACTTTTTTTATCTCCTTCTACATTTGGAGATTTGGTATGAATTTGGCAGCAGGCATGCTGTGGAGCTGATTGACTAGCAGACCAAACGCCCTTGTGCTGTGTCAGGATCAGCTATCAGATGGATAGAGAGAATGGGTAGAAATTATGTAGCTGCAGTCATCTGATTTTAGTTTGCCACTGCACGTTTGCCAGAGCTCTGTAGTCTCACATTATTTTTTTTTTTCATAATATGCCTTTTAAGAGTTTTGCTTCCTGTATGTCTCCTCTTCACCTGACTATTGGATGTTACCATCTGTGCTGATACAGCTGTGCTCTAAATGTTGCCTATTTAGAGCAACTAGAAGGAAACCATAGTTAAGTGTGCCACAGTGAGAGGCCAAAATATAGGAAAAACGTGTCAGTGAGAGGTCTAGAGGCTTGTTGACCCCTCATGTCTTAGCAACCCTGCAGGAGCCGGCCTTGATAGACAAGTTGAGTTAAGTTCTTATATTGTCCTTAGCATGATGAGTCCTCAAACCTGATGTTTATACTGTGGAAAACTATTACACTGCCAGTACCAAGATTTATTCTCTTTGATGTCAAAGACGAAACTTTCTTCTATAAGTACTTTAATTCTCTACATATTAGATTTAAAAACACATTCTCTCAAATAAATGTTCACTGGAAATATTTTAAAGGAGCACAAAGCCCAAAGTCCCTGTAAGATGTCTCAAGCCCAGCTTCTTGAATTTGGACATGTTGACCTGGTAGAAGAAAATCTCAGTAATTTCTCTGCATGGCTCAGGGCAGAAACTTGATTGGCTTCCCTGTTGCTGACTGCCCTCACCAACCAGAAATTGGCAATTCTGGAGTGGGATTCCCTTGAAAATGCATTTATTTGGTCAGCTTGGGTGAGCGTAACCAAGTGACAAGGACGACAAATTGGCTAGAGCTGGGGACTGAACGTCATGTTCTAAGCAGATGAGTCTCATGGGAGAAAACCTTTGAATACTTTTGCAAATACAAGTTCTTGTCTTCCAGCCTGCTCTGGTGCTAAGCAATTTGTCTGTCCCTTAAATATCAGGACGATTTCGTCTTGATTTCAGTGGGAACTGGGTTTTTCCTCATTGTCACTGCAAATCAGGCCACTTTTCATGGTTACTGACTACTTGTACAAAGGCTTTGAATGAAAAAGACAGAACGGATAGGTCATATTTATGTGTTATGTGAAGGATGCTGGGTAGGAAAATGGATTGAAGACTTTTTAGATTCAAGTTAAAAATGTCTCCAGCCACAGTCAGCATGCAGGACACTACCACTATGTTACAGTTTGCTGTGCAGTTTTATCGTTTCAGTGCAACTGTCATTTCTAGTGGAGGACGATTCTTGTCACATGAATTGAACAATTACTCATTAATGTACATTTTCAGCTCCTTCCTGCTCACATTATTCAAATTTTAGTTGAAGTTGGATTTCTTTGGGGAACATTGTCACTGAAGAATTATTTTCTGGAGGTTTTACCTGTCAAATTGTGAGGGTGCTTTTAAAAAAATATATATATTGAAGGAATCGAATTTTAAATAATGATATACTCTTGAGGGAGCGTGATATTAAAGGGAAAGGAGGCTTTTCCAGGTTCAAAGGTCTCCATACTTGATGCAAATAATACACTGCCAAAACACAATCCAAAAAGGAATAGATGTGATGAGGTGTTTGTTAAAGCTATCTGACCAGGTTAAATAAACCCATATGCTCTTTTTCATGAAGAAAGAGAGCAATTTTAAAAACTCTTCCTTGCAGTGAATGTTTGCTTTGCCTCAAATATATAAGCTGTTTTGCATAACGTTAGAAGCGTAGTCTTTCTTGTAATTTAATATTTTTGTATTCATTTTTCTGTCTTAGTTTTTCTCATAGTCTGTATCGATGGCATCAATTCTATATGTACATAGGGACAGAGAAATTCTTACTTTATTAATTAGATTCCCTGCTTTTGATGAAATATGAAGCGACTGCCTGCTCGTGCACCAGAAGGCAACATTCAACGTCTCCTGGTGGTCCCGGGAGCTAGATGAGCTCTGTCTCCTCTGCAGCTGGTGGGCAGCAGCCTTGTACTTACCTGGACTGCTAAGTATTCCAGTGGGTCTCTGTGGAGCACCACGGATCTACTGTCCCAGAAGGAGTCTGTAGACCTGAGTAGACAGTAGCAGCTCTGAGGACTTCCTTCAGCAACTCTTCTGGAAACCCTACTAAACAAATATGGCCCGATCTCGACTTACTGTACAGATTTTTGATGGATTTGTCTTTGTTTCCGGTCAGTATTAGCAGTGCTACCAAATAATACTATATTAAGTTCTACAATGAAAATAGAGTTCTGAAGCCTGAGATGTGCTTGCTGTTCCTGAATAAATGCTCCCTGTCACCTTTTGACCTTGGCAAATTCCCTACATTAAATGTAATGTTGGTGGGAATCTACCATGAAAACAAAACAGGATGTAGGAGATTTTTAGCAACTCACTAAACTGAAGGCTAACGTTGTGTGTATTCCACAGGACTGAGCCCCTGTAAATGTTGTCGAATGAGATGGGACTGATGCAGAGGCCTCTTGGGGTCCTTAAACACCTTATGTTAATCACAGCCATTTCTACTTGAATAGAACAGAAGTGAATACTGCAATAACCTGGGAACAAAAGAACTGTATTGAAAACTGTGCCATGGACTTCCTTACAACCTTGAGCAGTCACTTAGGCTCTCATCCAATGTCTCCTGAATTCTTTTCCAGTGATTGCAATGGCTTTGTATCAGGTGTTTAGTCTTTGCGTGCCTCTATTTCCTTCTTTGTAAATGGAGGTGTTTATATCAAAACCTAATTCCCAGAACCACTGGTTAGACTAAACAAACATTTCAAGAATGCATTGAGTACCTTAGACTATTGAAATGTATCCCATAATATTTTTTTCAAATTATTTGAAGAGATATTAACAAGGGATTTCTTTTCTTCATCTCATATTGCTTGTTATTTTCTTTTCAGAAGTGTTACACTTTATTCTGCATCTTCTGTCCTGAAATAATTTACATTTTATTAATTTCAGAAAAGTAATCATTCTTAGAAGTAATTTGGTTTTAGTGCGAATAGCCAGGGTGCAATATTCATTTAGTTACTGCCTTATGGAGCTTCTGGAAAGCTTTTGCTGAACACGAACAGCTCTCAGATATCCATGGGGTTTTTATTGGCATTGTAGGCGGATTGTAAAGTCAGTGTCGAGACATAGGTAGTGGCAGCCCAGGCCCATGGGTGTACCTGTATTGCTTCCTCCGTCAACAGGTCAGGAAGCACTGTAGTTGCTTTCCCGTGCTGTACAGTAATAATTGTACTGGACCTGACTTGCCTGCATGCAGATCTAGGGCAAGCATCCCTCCATCTCACTCTGGTTTACACACTGCCGAGCCCAAGGATCCCTGAGCTGTATAAGCATTAGGCTTGTTTGCCTGAGCTTTGTAGCTCCTCTCTGGTACCAGCCCTACTAGGTCTTAGCTGGGCCCTTTGGAAAAAAAAATAGGGTGATATCTGTTCTGATTCTGTTCCTCAGTATCCATTTTGTCTTACTTTT